ACATAATCACAAAGGCTGGGATGCCCGGGTTTGCCCAGGGCAAGCTGGAAAGCAAAGGAAAGCTCAGTTCAGTGGAATCAAAGGAGAACTGGGGGCTGACTGTGTTAGTTCAATGTCTTGATTCTGAAGATTAAGAACCAGGATTACCAATATCCAAAAGTAGGGGCTGGAAGTCCCAGCCCAGAGAGACAGAAAGAGAAAGACAGAGACAGAGACAGAGACAGTGGTGGTTACCTTTCCTTTCCTTTTTGTTTTGTCCTGGGCCTCTATGACACTGTGATCTCCATACCTGGATATTGCCCAGGGTGGATCCTTTTAGTGCCCTGCTAATCTTGTCCTAAAACACCTCTCCAGGCTGGGTTAGTCAGCTGTCCCTGCCTGTGATAACAATCCTGACATAACCAACTTATACACAGATTGGCTCCAGTTTCAGATGTTCCGTCCGTAGTTGCTTGGCTCTGTTGCTTTGTGATTGTGTGTGTGTGTGTGTGTGTGTGTGTGTGTGTGTGTGTGTGTGTGTGTATGTGTGTTTATTTTTATTTTTTGGTACCGGGAATCAAACTCAGGACCTTGAGCTTGCCAGGAAGGCTCTGTGCTGCTGAGCTACCTCGCTAGCCCTGTTTCTGTTTTTTTGAGACAGGTCTCATTTTGTAACTTAAGTTGTCCTTGAACTCCTGGCCATCCTGCCTCAGCCTCCCTGGTACTGTTATCACAAACACTTGCCACCATGTCCAGCTCCGACTTTAGGGTTTGGGGTTTTTGCTTTTAAGACAATGGATTGAACCCAGGGCCTCTGCATAGAGCTACATCTCCAACCTGTTTTATTTTTTATTTTGACACAGGGACTTGTTAAGTTGCCCAGGTTGGGCTCAAATTTGTGATCTTCCTGCCTAGGCTTCCCAGAATGCTAAGATGACAGGCATATGTTACAAGGCCTGGCTCTCACAGGATAGTTAGAGAAGAAAAGGCTGGTCATCTCTCTGCCACATTGGAGGTTTCCTGTGGAGGCTTTAGCCTTTTGCAGAGTGCCCTGAAGCAGGCCCCACTTGGCTGGGAACCAACACCTCCAAGGTTCCAGGTGGCTCCCTGTGTCCCTCCTGGTCAGCCAATTACTGCAGGCAGAGCTGGGCTTTCTGGTGTGTCCAGCCCTGGCTCCACCCCAGCTCTGGATGAGAAGGGGTGGTACTCCAGGAAGTCTCGGGAGCTGTTCCAACCTTTGCACCTGGGAAGACTCTTGACCCCAGGGAACCTCAAGGGACACAGCAGAGCTGCTTGGGTATTAAAATCTGTAATCCTAGGCCATGAGAGGCTGAGGCATTAAGACTGCAAATTTGATCCCAGTCTGGGTAATTTAGCAAGACCCTGTCCAGAAATTTTAAAAGAAAGAAAGAAAGAAAGAAAGAAAGAAAGAAAGAAAGAAAGAAAGAAAGAAAGAAAGAAAGAAAGAAAATAGAGATGGGGATGTAGCTCAGTGCAGAGGCTCTAGTTTTAATCCCTAGTAACTCCCTGTAAAGGTTTCAGCCAGCAGATGGGGGCACTTTTAAGGCAGCTCCCCCGCCCCAGCTCAGGGAGAAAGCAGTAATCCCTGGACAGGACAGCCAGAGCTGGGGATCAGAGATGGAACAATACCCTGGGGAGCCATGAAATGGTCCAAATGCACCCTGGAATAAGCTGAATTCCTGAGCCCCAATCTTCTCTAGCAGCTCATTCCTGACTTCCAGGAATGTGGCTGGGAAGGTGGGACTGTCCTACCTGTGATCTCCAAGTCTGGAGATTATCTGTGGGAAGTGGGGCTGGAGATATGTGCTCCTGGGACATGAGGGCTCCAGCTGCCTGCAGAGGTGGAGCAGAGTTTAGAGCTGCAAAAGACTGGAGCTGCTGGGAGAAAGGCATAGCCTTGGGGTTCAGGCCTGGCAGAGCCTGGCATTTGTGTCAGGTATCAAATTTAAGGAGTGCCTAAAATCTCAACTTTCAGGATTAATATTTAAATATATTTGTAATATTTAAATATATATTGCTTAATTCAATGAGAAGAAAGAGGTATACTAACAGTGTCAGGCGAATGTGATAACCACTACACTACGGAAACAACTGAGGTATACTAATAGTGTTTGGACAGGATATCCTGTCTACTTCTTGTACTATGGATAACCACTAAGAAGATAACAATGGGGGCTGGTGAGATGACTCAGTGGTCTAAAGCACCTACTTGGAACAAGCTTAGCAAAGCACAGGGACCACGGTTCAATCCCCCAGCACCACATGCCAGCCAGCCCCGCTCCCTGGTGGGCTGAGCTGCCCCCCCAAAATAAATGTTAAAAAAAATAAAATTTTAAAAAAAGAAGATAACAATATACAATGTATTGATTATCAAAACTGTCTTATTATTCAGCTTTGAAACTGTCTCATTCATATTTATTTCTCAATAAAATTAAAAAAAATACATATATATATATGTTTTTCAGACTTTTTTTTTTTTTGGTGGAACCGGGGATTGAACTCAGGCCCTTGTGCTTGCCAGGCAAGCACTTATTCTACTGAGCCATCTCCCTGTTAATTTTTTTTTTCATTCGTGTATTTGGTACAGGGCCTTACTACACAGATTGGACTATTGGTGATCCTCCCGTTTTCAACCTTCTCAGCACTAGTATTACAAGTATGCACCATTACATCCCAACTCAGTGGCTAGTTGAGTGGGCATACGGCAGAGCCAGCTCATCATGCAGGACTGGGGATTGAACCCTGGTCCTTGCATTTTTTTCAGACTTGTAGTGATTCTCCTGTCTCAACCTCCTCAGTGCTGGTATTACAGGTGTGCACCATCACGGGTTCCAGGGCCTGCATGGCAGGCAGCAATGGTGATCAAACTCAGGCCCTTGTGCTTGTCAGGCAGGTGCTTTGACCACTGAGCTATCTCCCTACCCCTTCATGCAACATTTTAAAAATACAAAAATAGGGTGGGGATGTGGCTCAGTGGTACTGCTTTTGCCTTGCATACACAAGGTCCTGGGTTTGATCGGGCAACACACACACACACACACACACACACACACACAAATACAAATCTGTAGGGCATGGTGGTTCACTACTATAACTGTGATCACAGTGCTGAGGGAAGCTAAGGGAGGAGGGTCACCAGTTTGTGTCCTGCCTGGGTAATTTTACAAGACCTTATCTCAAAACAAAATGTAAACCAGGTATGGCAGTGCATGCCTGTAATTCTAGCACTCTGAAGGCTGAGGCAAGAGAATTCCTGCAAGTTTGAGCCAGCTTGGGTTATACACAACGTTCAAATCCAACCTGATATACACAGTGAGGTCTTGTCTCAAAAGCTAAACTAAGACAAACAAGGGAACAATAAATCATTAAGTAAAAGAGCTATGGACACAGTTCAGTAGTTTAGTGGTGGTACACCCCTGGGTTCCATCTCCAGTAAAGACAAAACAAAACAAAAAACTCAAGATAAACAATGTATCAAGATTTTTAGGGAAAGGCCCAGTAGAATAAGCGCTTCCCTGGCAAGCGCAAGGGCCTGAGTTCAATCCCTGGTACAGAAAAAAAAAAATTTCCCCTTTTTTTTTTTTTTTTTTTTTTTTTTTTTGGCAGAATCAGAGAGTGAACTCAGGCCCTTGTGCTTGCCAGGCAAGCGCTTATTCTACTGAGCTATCTCCCTGGCCCCATGCCATCTTGCTTTATTTTTTTCTCCTTTCCCAGCTCCCATGTCCCTATAAAACTTTATTCAATCTGGTGCTGGGGATGGAACTGAAGGCCTGGCTGCCACATCCTAACTAAGAATGTACTCTTACATTGCCTTACACCATTAAATTAAAACTATTTATAAGAACAGGCAGCCAGCCTGGTGTCCTAGTTTGGCAATCAAAAAAAAAAAAAAAAAACCAAAACAAACAAACAAACATAAAACAATGATCTAGCCAGGCATTTTGGCACATGCTTGTAATCTCAGAATTTAAGAGGCTGAGACAGGTGGGTCCTGGTGAGTGTAAAGCCAGCGTGGCTTTACATAATGAGTTCAAGGCCAGCCTGAAATACATTGTGTAAATCTGTCTCAACCCACCCTCCACAACAAAAACAAGCCAGACGTGGTGCTCGCCTATAATCCCAGCACTGGGAAGTTTGAGGCAGGAGGATCGCTACAAATTGGGAGTCAGACTGGCCGACACAGCGAGACCCTATCTCAAAAAAGATAAAACCCACATTAAAAAAAAAAAAAAGCAAAACAACATAACAAAAATAAAAAGGTAGAAAATGATATAGACGGGAATTCTGGGAGGCTGAAGCAGGAGGATCACAAATTCGAGCCCAGCCTGGACAATTTAGGGATTTTTATGTTTCAACATAAAAAAACGTAAAAAGGTCTAGGGTTGTAGCTCAGTGAAAAATCCTTAAAGAAAAAAGTGAGAACATAATAAAAGAAAGAAAAAAAAAAGCAAAATAACCCCCCAAAAATCCAAACTGAGGACCCAATGAATGAACTGCACCTTCTGGACTCGGGCTCTAGGCCCCGCCCCTATCCCCGCCGCGGGACCTAGGCCCGCTCTGCCCTCCCCCGATACTGTAGGTCTCCGCCCCCGCGCGCCCCTGCGCGTCACTTCCGGGGCGGTGCCAAGAGTGAGGCTCACTTCCGCCCGCAGGGTAGAGGCGGCGGCTGTAACAGCGGCGCAGGAGGCTGGACTCAGACGCCCAGGGACCGACGGACGCTAGGGCGGGCGGACGCGAGCCATGGAGCGCGGCCCCAGGGCCGGGGGGCGCGGGCTGGGGAGGTGAGTGCGGGGCGGGGGCAGACGGGACGCCCTGCGTCCCGGACACGGCCGTTTGGGGAGGTTGGCCCGGCCGCGAGGCTGGAGCAGTCGGATCTGAAGCTGCTGAGTCCTCCGCACTCCCGGGAGGTTGCGGATGTAGTCTGGAGATCCCGGACCTGGGGTAGGGACTGCGGGCCAGCGTTGCGGACCCAGGTGAAGCCCTGTGCGCCTTGTACCCAGCCCTCGGCATGGAGCAATCACCCACTTAACCTGGGGACGCGGACTCTGCTCCTGCTCGGATCCTGACCCCACCCCTTTAACCGGGGCTCCCGATCGCGAGTCTTCACGGCCATCGTCAGGCGTCTTCCTGCGGGTGGACCCTCGAGCAGGCCTTTTCCGCTCCAGCGGTTCTCCAGGTGCAGCCAGGGATCAGTCCACAGCTCCTTACCTGTAGTTTCCACACAGGCCCGGGCTCCTCTGTGGCTCCCCATTTAAGTTCCGACTGCTGGGTTTATGGCCCTGGTTCCATCTGCGACCCTTTTTTCTGCTACAGTTAGTCCTAGTCAGGAGCCTGCAGTTCCTGGAACTCGCTGCCACCTGGATACTTTCTCTGTACCTTCCTGCAGGCAGCTTGACTGGCTGGGTGAAGTGCCATGGCCGGCAGTCCTATGTAGGTCGTTAAGAATGTATTCAGCTGGTTCTTGGTCCATTTTATACCGGTGCCCACTGGGACCGGGCTGAGGACTGCGGAGTTGTGAACTTGTGGTTGCAGATGTTTGGGTTCCAGGATGAGTGCCCAATGAGAGAGCTACCCTGGTGTGTGCTTTGCACTCGGGCTGTCAGTGACATGTGGGAGTCCCAGGGAAGGATGCCCAGGCTGATCCTGGTGGCTCTTCCTCCTGCAGCTTCTGCTCTTCTTATACCCCTTACACGACTGTTGAGCAAATGGTTATTCTGGTTATTTTGCTGAAGCACATACCTACTGGTCCTGTTTAGGTAGAGCTGCTCAGGGCTGGGGATTCCATTAAACACACAAATCCTATGATGGAACCATGAGATTGAGAGTGTGTGAGAGGTTTGGATGGGAGTGAATTCTGACTCCGGGATAGGATGGGTAAGGATGGACCAGCAAGGTAGGGAAGGAGGATCTCAGCAGGAACACTGAGGCAACTCAGAGGCAGGAAGGAGTTGTGTGAGGCCAAGAGGTTAGTTGAGCCTGGCTGTTGGCCTGGAGGACTGTGGTGAGGGCTGGGACCCACCGGAATAGTGGGAGGCCACAGGGACACCCTCCAAGGGAGGTGGCAGGATGATCAGATGAGTGCTGTAGAGACTGCTGGGCTGCAGGGTAGCATGTCCTGGAGTGGGGTGACACTTGCTGAGGAATGAAGCCCAAGGAAGGAGGCTGCTGCTGCAAGGCAGGGAAAAGTTACGGAGGTAGGGACCAAGTGGTGGCAAACAGGTAGAGCCAGCAGCAGGCCCAGGCATGGATTGGATTGGACTTGTGGGGAGGTGTCAGGGATGACACCTGTTTTACTTTTGGTCATGGGGCCTTGTCCAACTTTGTCATTCTCCAGAGAGTTAGGATTCTTCCCCTGGGTTCTTAGCCAGGCTTTCCGTCCAGACCACAGAGCCCTCCTAGTCACTAGCCACCCAGCCACAATAGAGCCTTATGCACTGGACTTTGGATCCCTTGGGGAGTATTTTGTTTTGAGTGGTGTGTGTGTTGGGGCGGGGGAGAGACAGACAGAATCTCACTATATAGTTCAGTTTGGCCATGAGTTCACTATGTAGCCCAGGCTGGCCACAAACTTCAAGTGATTTTTCTGCCTCTGCCTCAGCCTCCTGAATGCAGGGATTACAGATGTGCCCCACCACAGCTGGCTTCTTTGGGACTGTTTTGAAGCTGACATTTCTCAACTATGACAGTATAGATATTTGGGGCCAGATCATTCCCAGTTGGAAATTACAGGATAATTTCAGGGACATTACAGGGTACAGAGAAGGATCTTTGTCCTCATATTCCATTCCCTCAATTGTGACAGTCACAATTGTGGCAAGACATTGCCCATTCCCCTGGGGGCAGGACACCTTTGAGAATTAGCATCATAGACTCCCCCTTCTGAAAAGTCCTGCATGAGATCTGCTACCTGCATGGTAGTTTGCATCTCCGTCCTTACCCCTGCCTTGGCTTTCACAGTGCTCCTCCCTCTGCGCTCCTGGATCTTGGGGATGGGCTGTCTCTTTCCAACTCTTGAGTATTACATTTGAGGTCTGCAGGGTGCATATCTGTAGACCTGTAGTTGTGGGGGTCTGTGTCCCATGGCAGACTCTACAATGCTTGACCCAAAGTCATGTGAGCCTGGGTGTTTTCTGCTTTGCCCACGAGGGAAGGTATGGTCCACAGATAGGTTTTTCTGAGACATCTTGTTGTCTTCATGCCTGTGAGTTGGCAACTTCCTGTACAATGGTAGTTACTCGGCCACTTAACTGTTGTCCACTTCACGTGTCATGGTGTCTTGCAGGTCTTGTTTAGTTTGTTTTTTGAGATAGGGTCTTGCTATGAAGTTCAGGCTGGATTTGAAGTCACTACACAGCTTAGGTTGGCTTTAAACTCACATGGATCCTCTTGCCTCAGCCTCGGGAGTGCTGGAATCATAGGCATTTACCATCAACCGCCACACACCATTATGTCCAGCTAGAATGGCTTTTTTTTTTTTTCTTTCTCTTTGTACATCTTGCAGAAATGAGAAATGTCTGAGTTCTTTTTCTGAGCTAGGCCCTTCATCCCCCATTTCACTCCCCTCTCATCTGCTCCCTGAGGCAGTTGGTACCCACATTTATAGATGAGGACACTGAGGCCCAGGAGTGTCATGGAGGCCCCAAAGCAGCAGGCTCAGGCTTCTTGCCTGACCCCACCCCTGACTCAGCCTGGCCCAAACACAGGGAAGAGCCATTGTCCAGGCTCAGTGGGGCCTTCCCAGCCCAAGATGTATCCTGCCTTTGTTTCAGGAGTCTTTTGTTTGTTATGTTTCGCTGACAGCAGCTCTGTCTCCAGACACCCTGTGAGCATGTGGGGTCATGCTGCAGGAGAGGACATGAGCTTGGGTCCCTTCAGTTCCAGTCTTGTGCCCCTTCCTAGAGTTGGCTGATGAGTCCCTGAAGGATTGCACAGAGCTGGTTCAGAACAAGGGTCTGGGTAGCACAGTGGACAGAGGGCTGGGAGGGACAGGGTCTCCCAAGGAAGGGAAAATGTGCTGGCGAGGCTAGGTTGGGCTGGGGCTCTGATGGTTCAGCCCTGTGCAGTGGCAGTTGGGCTGAGGGCAAGGTTGGGGTGCAGGCTATGAAGGGTCCTCCTGTCTAGGGTAGGTCTGGCTTGTGAGGCCAAAGGTTTTGCAGTATGGGCAGGAAAAGACAAGATGGGGCTGTGGGGATGGGCAGGACTTGGAGCCATGCCTCCCCACCTGGCACGGTGAGGTGGGACCTGGCCTGTGCCCCAGCTTCCTGGAAGGAACCTGCCCCATGTCCCCACAGGGTTTCCCACGGCATACCATGGAGACCCGTGACTGCAAGGCTCCTGGGGGCTCGGCTTGGACTGCGATGGGGCTGGGCCACAGCCTCCTAACAGGGCTGTTGTTGAGGGTGGTGGCCGAGTGTCCAAGCACCTCCACACCTCCCCTGCCAAGTGAGGCTGGGCCACATTGTTGGCGGGTGCCCTACAGGAGGCCCAGCGCTGGGCCTGGTGCCCGCCCGCCATGAATGGCCTGTCGGTGAGCGAACTCTGCTGCCTCTTCTGCTGTCCGCCGTGCCCTGGCCGCATCGCTGCCAAGCTCGCCTTCCTGCCACCTGAGCCCACCTATTCACTGTTGCTTGAGCCAGAGCCGGCACCTGTTGGGGCTGGGGCTGCCTCATCAGGGACCTTGCGAGCCTCTGCGGGTACCCCAGGGCGCTGGAAAGTCCACCTGACGGAGCGCGCTGACTTCCAGTACAGTCAGCGTGAGCTGGACACCATCGAGGTCTTCCTGACCAAGAGCGCCCGCGGCAACCGCATCTCCTGCATGTACGTGCGCTGTGTACCTGGGGCCAGGTGAGAGTTGAGAGGGTGTGGGGGCATTGCTTTTGGGCTCCTCTTCCCACCCGGGGCATATATAGGGCTGATGGTGATGCTGAAGGTCCTGAGCTGGGTTGAAAAGGCCAAGTAGTTGACATAGGTGAGGTGACCATCCTCACCCTCACTTTCTCTTGCTAATCCAGTAGCTGCCTAGATCAGTTAAGAATGGGCCTCCTGTCCACTGCTGCTGCTATTGCTACAGAGACACCTGGTCCCCTCCCATGTGCAGCCTTGTTGGCATGCCATCTTACTAATGCGCACAGAGGTCAGGGGAGGAGGTGCCTTAGATTGCTCCAACAGACTGCGCTGGCCTGCTCCCCAGGGCTGCCAACCTGACCCAGCCCAAGGTGGGTGGGATCCTCTCTGCCAGGCAGGGACTGAGCCCTCAGGGCAGGTTGTCACCTTTCAGCCAGGTTCCAGGTGGGGCAGGAAACCAGCCATGGGGAGGGCCAGCCCAGTACTTGTCCTTGGCCTGACCTCAGGCAGGGCCTAGTCCTGCAGCAGGCCTCCTGGGGTGGCCACAGGCCTCCTGTAGATAGGATTAGCCTCATTCACTTGCTATAGTCAGGGATGCATCTCCTCACAGCAGTGAAGTGTCCCTTCCTGGAGGGTATGCAGATGACATAGTGTGCCACTGGCTCCTGCCCCAGAGAGGCTCTGAGCAGTAGCATCAGCTATCTTGGACTGCTGAGGCCACTGCAGGAGACTTTCTGCAGCAGAGGTGGCCATAGTTCCACAAGGTTGTGAGGGGTGCCGCAGCTTTCTGAGCTTGGTATATCAGTGTCCCTTTCAGATGGAAGGCCTACCATAGTGGGAAAATGCCAGGCCGCCTGTCTCCCCAGGACCCCTTACCCCTCACTGGCTGTGTGGCCTCATCGGAGGGTAGAGGGTGAAGCAATGGGTGTCTCTGGCTGCCAGGAGGGACTGTCCTGAATGCTCTGCCCTGGGACAGGCCTGTGCTCCCATCCCCTGACCTGTGCCCCCAGGTACACGGTTCTTTTCTCACATGGCAATGCTGTGGACCTGGGCCAGATGAGCAGCTTCTACATTGGCCTGGGCACCCGCCTCAGCTGCAACATCTTCTCCTATGACTACTCTGGCTATGGCGTCAGCTCAGGCCGGCCCTCCGAGAAGAATCTCTATGCTGACATTGATGCTGCCTGGCAGGCCCTGCGTACCAGGTAAGGCCACCTGAGAGGCAGAGACAGCTGCAGGGCCCCCTAGGGAGGTGACTGAGCTTCTTTGGGATGGGAGGAAGCAAGCTGGGTCAGAGGGTGCTGTTAGCATGCCTGGGTGTGTGGATGCCCATCTCCCTGTGGGGTCAGGGATCTTCGGACCAGCCAAGGGTCAGGGCAGCTGGTCCTCGGTTCCTTGTAGCTGGGGCTACTCATAGAGGAGTGAGGGTCCATCAGCATGAGGATGCAGTGAGAAAGGGCCCTTGGGGCTGGACCACTGAATCCAGGTTCTAGGTGTGAGGCTGTGGAACACAGCTTCACCATGGGCCAACGAGCTGGTGGGCAGGAGGGTTCCATCCTATGGTTGGCCAGTGTTGATTCCATACCCTTAGCCATGAGGTGCCCTGGTCTAGTCCCTGCCTTCCTGGTTACCAGGTCTTGGGCAATACCTCTGTTCACCTTCACATTGGTCCATGTGGCACACTTCGCTGGTGCCCTGACCAGCATTTGCTGAGGGCAGCCCAATTCCTGCCTTGCTGGAGATGGCATCTCTCAGTGCCTGCTCAGGGCTGCCTGTGTTGACCCTGCTTGGCCAACAGGTCTGACCTGCCCTGTGGGGCCAGGTGCAGCACTGAGAAGTCAGTTGCCCTGGGGAAACATGGTGCTGGTCACCATGGTGAAGTGCCATGCAGTCTCCAGGATGCCTAGGGCCTGGTCCCCTGGCAATGCCCTGGTACTGGAGACCTGTCTGAGCATCCTTCCTGCTCTGCTGCAGGTACAAGTGACCGCAGCATGCAGTCTCTCTTCTCCCTACTACCTGGGGCACAAGTAGAATTGCATCCTAGTGTGGGTTGTGGGCCCTGGGCTGTGTCTCTCTGCCTGCCACCAAGACTTTTCTCCTGTATCTTGGGCCTGAGCCCACAGCTGGGAGAGGCAGAGGCAGGTAGGGAAGGTTCAGCCTGAGTCGTGGACCAGGGAGGAAGGTGTCACCAGGACAGGTCAGGTACATCTAGGCAGAGATGTCCAGGTGGCAGTTGGGAACTCTTGCTTAAAGCTGGGTGGCAGGGAGCACTGGCATTTAGCTAACTAGTGGGCATGGAGCCAGGGGTCTGGGCCAAGGACCAGGAACCAGGTTAGGGGACTCTGAGTAGAAGAGCAGGTGGCATGAGGCTGCCAAGGTCAAACCCAGATGTTTATCCCCTATCCACCTGGGATTAGTTTCTACCTGGGAGGAGGAGAGCAGTGGGATCCTGCAGGGGGAGGGGGGCCAGTGGGTCCCGTTGAGGGTAGAGAACAGGTAGGTGCAAGGGGGCCATAGAGCCAGCACACTGCTAGACCAGGGAACCTGGCAGGTGGGGTGCATACCAGCCCGCTGGGCACTAGTCTGCAGGGAGGGGCTTAGAAGAGGCAGCAGTAGCATCCACCTCCCACAACCCAGCCTCTACTGCCCGATGGTATCCTGCCAACCCCCTAATTGGCCACAGGAGAGGCAAAAGGGTCCCAGCCTGGGCAGAAACAGCCAGTAACACAACTGCCTAAATTTCCTCAGGATTTGAAATTGTGTGGGGAGGGGGTGAGGGAGGAAAAAAGCCCTACCCTCACACATGTGTGCTGGGAGGGGCTTTTGGGTCAGGTGGTCAGGAAGGGTTGGCCTGAAATCTGTATGTGTTGGGGGAAGCAGTTGGTCCTGCGATCTGTCCTGGTCCAGTGTGTGCATGTGTGGTGGGCAGGGGTGACCAGGAGGAGCAGGCAAATTGCCAGGCTTGCTCTGTACTCCAGTGTCCATCAGGTGCCTTCTTGGGAGCTGGTTATTGTAGACAAGCAGAGGGCAGAGCCACAGCACAGGTGGGCCTGACCCTGCCCTGCTCCCACCTGCCCCCAGGTATGGCATCAGCCCGGACAGCATCATCCTGTACGGACAGAGCATTGGCACAGTGCCTACAGTGGACCTGGCCTCACGCTACGAGTGTGCCGCTGTGGTACTGCACTCACCGCTCACCTCAGGCATGCGTGTTGCCTTTCCTGACACCAAGAAGACCTACTGCTTCGATGCATTCCCCAAGTGAGTATGGGGTTTTACTGTGGGGCAGGGGGTGGGGTGGGATGTAGAGTGTGCTGTGTGCTGTATGGGCTCTTGAGGGCAGGTAGGGGGTAGGGGTGAACAAACCCTTGACTAGGGGCCCTCTGGCCTAACCTACCCCACTCCCCCAGCATCGAAAAGGTGTCCAAGATCACATCACCGGTGCTCATCATCCATGGCACTGAGGACGAGGTGATTGACTTCTCGCATGGGCTGGCACTGTACGAGCGCTGTCCCAAGGCTGTGGAGCCACTGTGGGTAGAGGGTGCTGGGCACAATGACATCGAGCTCTACAGCCAGTACCTGGAACGGCTGCGCCGCTTCATCTCCCAGGAGCTGCCCAGCCAGCGCGCCTAGCATTGGCCAGTGATGCCACACCATGCTGGCCCTCAGCAATAAGGCTGCCGCTCGAGGACTCATCCCTCCGCGGCCCAGGGGGCTGCATGTGGACCCCTGAGCCACCTAGGACCCTGCCCTGGCCCAGGGGCCATGGACAATGTGCAGGCGATGGAGCTACACTTCCTTTTGGAAGCAAAGAGAGGTGAAAAATTAAAAGATTTAAGATTTTAGGGTTCTTTTTCTCTTCTGTGGTTCTTGCTTATCCCAATTAACTCCCGGAGGTGGTGGGTCTGGCTGCTCCACAAAGATGGAGGAGGGGGAATGGCAGGGAAGGGGTGGAAGGGCAGCATTCTAGGGAGACAGATAAAATAGGTCTCTGGGGTGCAGCCTTGGGCAGAGCTGCTTTATAGGATCTCCTGCCCTGTCCTCCTACCCGGCCCACTGCTTGGACTGATGGGAAACCTGGGCCAGGCCAACCTCTCTGCAAGCCCGCGGGAGGGTAGCAGGTGGCATAGGTCCCCAGAGGGAAAAGGAGCTGGGTCTAAGGGCGTTTTGTAAGCCCCAGGTCTGTCTTTCTCCTCAAGGACTTTGAGCTGCGGCCTCTGCTCCGCAGGCTCCAGTACCCAGAGAACTCTGTGCCCTCATGGCAGGAGCCCAGGCCATGGCTAGGTCAGAATCCCCAGCAGCCTCCGCCGAGCAGTGGTTGATAGGCCCTTTAAGGAAGGGTGGGACTTCAGTCTGGGGGCGGAGGCAATTGAGGGGCGTAGCCAGTGCGAAGGCATGGAGGGGGCGGGAGCTGGCGCGGAAGTGAGGTTCATGGATCCGGAAGTGGAGGTGGCCAGCGGACCGCGCAGGAGGCGGTGGGTCGGCGGTAAGTGGTGGCGGCTCAGAGTCAGCCGGGAACCCGCCCCGGCTGATTCCGTGACTTCCTCACTCGCGCGTGTCACGATCCTGTTCCACACTCGCTCCGCCGCCCGCCTCCTGTCCTGTCTGACCAAGAAGGCGCCGTCAGGAGCGCGCGGTGTAGCCGCCGGCTCAGAGTACTGGGTCACTTGTGAGGCCAGGAGGTTGTAGAAGGAAACCTTGATAAATTAGGGTGCATCCATATCGCCTGCTCTCGCCAGCCCCAGCGCCTTTGCAGACTGCCGTGCTCTCCGTCCCGTGGCTGCCTTTTCTTGATGCGTCTGCTTCAGAGGTTGCCGGCTAGTGTTTACCCTGCCTCCCTTCCGCCATCGTGTCCAACTGCCGGATTCCCCCATTGACCTCTGGTGCAGCGCTGGTGACTGAGAATGTTGTTCCTGCCACCATGAGAACCCGACCTGCCTGTGAGCGGGGATTGGACTGTTTTCAGTGCTGCGAGGTCAAAGTAGGTGTGTACAATAGACAAGTTTTCAGGTACATGGTTAAAAATATTAAAGGAACCAGAAAGGAATATTTAGTGGTAACCTGAAAGTGTTTCTCCCAGGCCAGATGTGTCACAAACCTGTAAATTCAGGAGGCTGAGGCAGAAGAATGTAAAGTTTGAGTTTAGCCTTGCAACTGAGTGACTTGGCCAGACCTTGACTCAAAATAAATTTTAGTATCTTCTCTCACCATTAAATTTGACAGTTTTGCAGGAACAAAATAAATTTTAAAAGAAAACTGCAGATGCAGTTCAGTGCGGAGACCCTGGTTTTATCCCCAGTACAGGGGTTGGGGTTTCTCATGTCTAACCTCCAAAGCCCAGTTTTCCATTGAAGTAGGGATAAGTCAGTTTCCTAAGCACTAGTAAAGAAAAGTGTGCATACCCATCTATGTGTATTCCTACAAAAGGACAGCCTCTTTTACTTTTTTGTTAGAACTGGGGATTGAACTCAGGTTCTTGTGCTTGCCAGACAAGCATTTATTCTACTGAGCCATCTCCCTGGCTCCCATGGTCAGCCTCTAAGAGCTTTTTGGCGGTACCAGGGATCGAACTCAGGACCTCATGCTTGCCAGGCAGGCACATAGGCCACTGAGCTATATCCCCAGCCCCCCTCTAAAAACTGTTTTGACAGAGTAGTATAGAGTGGACTCATTTTGTTTCAATGGCTGCTCAGTAGTGTGTGTGTGTGTGTGTGTGTGTGTGTGTGTGTTTCACTGGGGATTGGAACCACACCACTGGCTCTTCTTTATTTTTGAGACAGTGTTTCACTGCTGGACTCAAAAACTTGGCATCGGGGGCTGGAGAGATGGCTCAGTGGTCTAAAGCACCTACTTGGAACAAGCTTGGCAAAGCACAGGGACCGCGGTTCGATCCCCCAGCACCACATGCCAGCCAGCCCCGCCCCCTGGTGGGCTGAGCTGGCCACACACATACACACACTAAATAAAAATGTAATAAATAAATAATTAAAAAAAAAAAAAAAACTTGGCATCCTCCGGCCTCAGCCTCCCAGAGTGCCTGGATTACAGATATGAAACACCACATCTAGCTGCTGGCTGCCCAGTATTTTACTAGTGCTATAATTCATCCTATTGCTTTTTTAAAAAATCTTATTTCTTGTTGGTAGAAATGTAAGTTATTTGCAGTATTCCATAATAAAAAGCGATGCTAGGTTGACTTTTTGTTTTTTAAATTTATGTGGTACTGGTGATGAAACCTGTGGATTTACACATGCAGAGTGCATGCTTTATCCCCGAGTCATACCCCCAGCCAGTGGTTGACTGATTTTTTTAGTTTTTTGCCTTTTTCTTTTTGAGACAAGGTCTTGATGTCTCATTGTGTTGTTCAGAGTGGTCTTTTTTTTTTTTTGTATTTTATTTTTTAGGGAAGGGTCTACAGGGTGTTCAGGGTCTCACTACTAGATCGGACTCGTAGTGATCCACCTGTTTACAGCCTCCCAAGAGCTGGGATTACAGGCGTGGGCCACCACGCCTAGTTTCAATTGCTGTCTCAGTGCACCCCAGGGGCAGCATGGCAGGGCAGTATGGCAGGCCCGCGGATCAAGCCCCCAGCCCCTTTGCCTGCTCAGAGTGGTCTTGAATTCACTATGTGGCCCATGGTTGCCTGGAACTCAGAGTAATTCTCCTGCCTCAACCTCCTGAGTTCTGGGATTAGAGTTTCAAACCACCACACCTGGCTTGTCTTTTATTTTTTTCCTTTTTTTGAGACAGCGTCTTCATCTGTAGTTTAACCTGGCCTTAAACTCACTAGCCCAGGTTTGTGATCCTGTCTCAGCCTCCGAGTGCTGGGATTTCAGGTGTGTGCTACTACACCTGACTACATTTTTTCTCCTGAACATCAAGGAACTTCATTTCCTACTCCTGATATTTTTGTTGAAAAAATGGGGATTAGCTGGACTGGGTAATAGACACCTGTAATCCCAGCACTCAGGAGCGAGGCAGGAGCATCATTGGGGGTTCAGAGTCAGTCTGGGCTACTTAGCGAGTCCAAGACCAGCTTGACTATAGCAAAGCCTTATCTCAAAAAGACAACAAAGGGCTGGGGAGATGGCTTCCCTGGCAAGTGCAATGGTTTAATACCTCATTCTGCAAAATAAAAAAAATAAAAAGACAACAAAAAGGAAAAAAAAATAAGGGTTGTTTTGATTTACAGATAAAACTGGAAAAAAAAACCCCACAAAAAACTGGCGTTTTATTTTTTTGAGACAGGAACTCATGAAGGCCAGGGTGGCCTTGAACTCACCTATGCGGGCCTCAAACTCAGTAGTCTTCCTGGCTCAACCTTCCAAGTGCTGGTCCCTGGTTCTCAAAAACAAAAACACAAGTGCTGGAATGACAGGTGCACTATTATACCAGGCTCAAAATGGCTTTTTCAAATTCGTATATAACCATAAACCTTGTATCAGGCTTTCCTTTAGACTCTGATAAAGAGGATCTGGATCCCCCTCCCTTACTTGGGGGTGTGTATTTACTGTTCAGGACACCCACCATGGTTTGGGGGTCACAGGTGAAAACGCCCCATGCTGCTCCTTGGCAGTGCTCACAGATGCAGCATATTTGGGTGCCTTTTTTTTTTTTTTTTTTTTTTTTGAGGTACCGGGGATTGAACTTAGGACCTTGTGCTTGCCAGGCAAGCGTATACTCTACTGAGCTATCTCCCCAGCCCTCGGGAACCTTTCTGCAGGGACTCCCTTTGGGGATGGGCCCTTCCCACTTCAGTATCTGTTCCCTGAGGCAGTGTCCCATCCTGAGTGGTGTGGCCTTGGCTGGGTACCAGGAGAAGTGAATTCCAGTTTGACATTCTGTTTCCAGGACATACACAGCAGCAGTGGCCGTAGCAGTGATGTCCCAGCCTGGGCCCTTACCCCTATTTACCTAGGGCATCTAGAGAGCAGCTTTGTGTTCCTTGACTTGCCAGCGGGGGGAGCCTTGTGGCCTGTGTAATATGGCACCCAGAGTCCCAAGGGGACAAGGCCTGCCCTGGGTGGGCAATGGGGACAGACAGCTGTTTCAGGGCAAGCCTGATGGTGCCTGCCTCACCTACTCCTGGGGGTGTGAACACCCCCACATCTATAGACCAGCTGCCCCCACTGGTCCCTATCACCACTGGTTTCAGGTTATCACATTCTCATGGCCAAGGCTGAATAGGGTCCACTGGAAGATAGGGGAGCAGCTGCTCAGAGGCTTCCACCCCCTTCTCTGCCCCGTAGAGCTTCTGAGGCTACACTACTTCCTCCAGGCCATGCCTGAGGCTCTGAGTCCCAAGCCTGGCTGGAGGTGTGTAAGAGTGGTGCAAGGCCACTGTTAGTCTCTGGTCCTCCTTCCTATTTGGGGCCTGCAAGGGCAAAGCTGCTGTGTTCTCACTATATCCCAAAGAAAAACCTCACCTGAGCATGGTGGTGCATTGCATGGGAAGGCGGGGCAGGCCAACAGCAAACTGGAAAGGGCAACTTAGTGAGTTAATGAGACCATGTCTCAAAAAATAAAGAGGGCTGGGGACGTGGCACAGTGCAAAGGCCCTATGTTCAATCTTCAGGGCTGGAAAGAATAACATAATAATAGAAAAGCAGATGGCTCAGAAGTAAAGGAGTGACATGGGTCTGAGTTGTGTACCATTGGGCTGTCCCCCTTGGAATTTGCACTGCTCAGCTCTCACTGAGCAGGCACAGACAGGAGCATGGGTGTCCAGGACAGATTCAAGGGGATCCCCATCCCAGCTCACTAGCGGAGGAGCCCAACTGTCCTTAAAATTTCACTGCAGAGCTGGGGATATAGCTTAACAGCATAAGTGCCTGCCTGGCAAGTG